CCTTGAATTCACAGACATCTGCCTCCTGAGTGCTCTGAGTGCTGAGATTTTGTTTTGTTTCTGTTTTAGTTTTTAGAGACAGGGTTCCTCTGGCTGTCCTGTTGGTCACGCTGGCCTCAAACTCACAGAGATCTCCAGTCTCTGCTTCCCAAGTGCTGGGATTAAAGGCATGAGCCACCAGCACCTGGCCATGTAAGTCTTAACTCTATTCCTTTTTCCTTCCTTCCTTTCCTTCCTTCCTTCTTTCCTCCCCTCCTCCCCTCCTCCCCTCCCTCCCTCCCTCCCTCCCTCTCTCCCTCCCTCCCTCCTTCCCTCCCTCCCTTCTATTCTTTCCTTCTTTCTCCCCCCTGCCTCTTTCTTTCCTCCTTTTTAGACAGGTTTTTCTCTATGTAGCTCTGGCTATCCTGAAACTCACTAAGTAGACCAGGCTGGCCTTGAACTCACAAAGATCCACCTGACTCTGCCTCCTTTAAAGGGATGCATCATCACACCCTGCTCCACAAATCAGGCATAAATATGACAAGCAAGTGTATACTGGAAGGAAGGGGAGGAGCCAAAGTGTTGTAGAATATTTCTTTACACTGTGTGAAGATGTGTCATTGTGATTGGTTTAATAAAAAGCTGAACATCCAATAGCTATGCAGGATTTCCAGCCATAGAGGATGCTGGGAAGAAGGATAGAGTCGAGCAGCATGGGTATTACAAAGTCAAGGTAACCAAGCTACGTTAAAGAATGTAGATTAAAAGATATGGGTTAGTTCAGGGTATAAGAACTGGTTAGAAATAACCCTAAGCTTTTGGCTAAGCTTTTATAATTAATAAGAAGTCTCCATGTCATTATTTGGGAGCTGGCTGGTGGGACAGAGAAAGACTCGTTACACCAAAGTTCAAGTGGACAGCAGAGCACAGCAGCAGAGAATAAAAGTATGAAGGCAGAGGATGGCCCAGGCACATGAGAGAAATAGGTATATAACTGCTCTTTGGACAGGACACTTGTTTTCAGGCTTCTTATACCATGGATGCCCTTCCCCTAATGATAAAATTCAATGTTAAATATATTTAACTCATTTCTACCTGTTTCCATGCTGGGAATTACTTGTTTTTGAGGAAGCAGGCACCTCTTGGAAGTCAGTGAAAGAATCATCTAGGGATCCTGACTTGGAAGCATCTTGAAAATCCTGGAAGTCATCTTCTTCTGTCTTTCCCACCTAGATTTAGAAAGTATCTTAGAGTTAGGGTTACTATTGCGGTAATGAAACACCATGACCAAAGAAACTTAGGGAGAAAAGGGTTTATTTGACTTACACTTTCATATCATTATTCATTATTGAAGGAATTCGGGACAGGAACTCAAACAGGGCAGGAACCTAGAGGCAGGAGCTGATGCAGAGGCCATGGAGGAGTGCTGCTTACTGGCTTGATTCTCATGGCTTGCTCAGCCTACTTTCTTATAGAACCCGGGCCCACCAGCCCAGGCATGTCATCACTCACAATGGGCTGGGCCCTCCCCCTTCAATCACTAATGTCCTATAACCAGCTCTTATGGGGGCATTTTCTAAATTGGGACCTTTCAGATAGCTCTAGTTTGTGTCAAACTGACATAAAACTAGTCAGTACAGAAAGGATATTTACCTAGGGAACACAAGACTGCCAAAGCAAATAACTGCTCTCCAAGCAGCAATCTCAGAGACTATCACTTAATTGCTCAATTTAGTTACAACTGCCTAATTTCATAATCACACATAGTGTGTGTGTGTATGTGTGTGTGTGTGTGTGTGTGTGTGTGTGTATGAGAGAGAGAGAGAGAGAGAGAGAGAGAGAGAGAGAGAATGCACATGCACTGTGCTGGAGGTGCACACAGAGTCTTGTGCATATTAGGCAAGCATTCTACCACTGAGCATATATTGCTCCAGGCAAGAACATAATTGAGATCTAACAACAAAAGTGCTTAAGGCAAGAATTCTGTTCCATATTTTAAAGTATTCTCTGGTATAAATGTAAAGAGACTGGTCCAAATAGCTAACCTCTGAATATTTTTAAAGTAGCTGGATTACATTGTTAGGTTGCTGGCAGCAAACCAATGCCGACAGCAATGTTTGTGAACAGACACAACATGAGCCCTTGGTACCCAGTCATACACATGCATGAAGCAAACACAGGCTCCTAGGTTAATACCCAGAGTAGCAGCAGACTGTTCACGGTCCATTTGCTTTATGGAACAAGCTCACACTACACTGTTCAGTACTTTAAAAATGTAATTACACAACAGGCTCATCCTTCCATGCCATAAATGCAGATCTATTTTGTTAATTTTAATGACTACATTCCACTATATGGAGAAACTGAAATCCATTGAACACTTTCTTCATGATGAGCAGTATGTTTTACCTAACAAGAAGAGTTACTGCTGATATGTCTATCTGTGCTAACCTTAGTTACTATCTCTGAAGACATGGGTGTGTTTTCAAACAGTTGTGCCAACAAACCTGCAGGATTTGTCACTTTCCTTACATGGTCACTGACTTCAAATATCTGCACATTAGAAATATTGGTGTGCTCATTTAAGAAGTGAAAATTTTTAATCTTTTTTTTTGAGACAGAATCTCACCATGTATACTGGCTGGTTTTGTGTGTCAACTTGACACAAGCTAGAGTCATAAGAGAAGAAGGAGCCTTCATTGAGAAAATGCCTCCATGAGATCCAGTCGTAAGGCATTTTCTCAATTAGTGATCAATGGGGGAGGACCCAGTCCATGATGGGTGGTGCCATCCCTGGGCTGGTGGTGTTGGGTTCTGTCAGAAAGCAGGGTGAGCAAGCCAGTAAGCAGCACCCCTCCATGGCCTCTGTATCAGCTCCTGCCTCTAGGTTCCTGCCCTGATTTCCTACAATCATGAACAGCAATGTGGAAATGTAAGCCAAATAAACTTTTTTCTCCCACTCATTTTTTGTTATGGTGCTTCGTTGCAGCAATAGAAACCCTAACTAAGACACCATGCAGTCCTGGCTGGCCTGGAACTTTCTAAGTAAACCAGGATGACCTCAAATTCAGAGATTACTGCCTCTGCCTCCTGAAAGCTGAAATCAAAGGTGTGGACTACACATCTGGCCTTAACTCAATCTCTCTCTCTCTGTATGTGTGTGTGCCATGTGCAGAAGACCAGAGGTTGGAATTGAGTCTTCCTTCACTGCTTTCCATTGTAGAAAATACCTTAATTCTCAACAAATATTTTGTGTGATTAAAGAATAGTTAAAAACAAATAAAAATAAACAATTAAAATTTGTGTTATCTTAATACTTGAAAATTATTTCTTGCAGAGTTAGGGTAAAACTTAGGACCCTGAGCATTGTAGGTGAGAGCTCATTGGTGACCACACCTTTGTCTCCACACCGCTTAATTTTCACATCAAGTGCCCACCATAATCCAGCAGACTGTATCTCTGGAAGGAAAGCTATCCACATGCACTTTCAGGAATGATCTAGCACACACAAAGCTTCTCCGTTTACCTGATTTGATGGGTAGGCTGTCATGAAGCCACTGGAAGTTGGTGCTGCAGCTCCACCCACTGGTCCAACAAGGTTAATGCCCATGATGGGCTGTCCAAGGCTGAGGGGCATGGAGCCTGCTTGGACAGAGGGCATTGCAGTCGGCTGGCTCACTGGGGTAGGCAGAGCCAGAGGAAAGCCGCTTAAGGTGGGAATGGGAGCCGCTGGGAACTGGCTCAAAGCATCAGGGCTCATGGCAGGAACGCCCCTCTACAGGAACATCAGGAAATGAAAACATTTTAGCTGACTGCAGACCATGTCAAATTCTGTGCAAGAGAGACCTACACATAGCTTTCCTGTTGTCTCACTCTCTTTGACTGACTCCTCAAATACACGGATCTGATACCAGGAGAAAAGTAGAAAGGACAATGCAGCAGGATCCACTACTGTTCTACTTCTAAAAATGTAATTATACAAGGCCATCCTTTCACACAGCAAACGTGGACCTATTTATTTCATCTAACTATCCCCATTTAAAACTCCAATGCTAATACTTAGACAACACCAGCACACACCGACTGTGACATTTTCTGTCTGGTAAGTTTGGTTAATTTGCTAAACTCAAATAACTTAAACTAATTCCAAAACATAAGAAAAGTTGTTACTAGGCTAACTATACTTTTTGTTTGTTTTTCAAGGCAAGGTTTCAATGTGTAGCTCTGGCTGCCCTTGAACTCACAGAGATTAAAGGTATGCACCACCACTGCCGGGCCAGGCTAAGTATATTTTAAGGAATTCTAAACAAGGGCAGAAGTTGATTTCATCAATTACTTTCACTTTCAAACAAAAGAATAACTTGCTAGGATGTGCATTATATGAACTATACATTTTTGAAACACTTTCTCACAAATGATCTAAATTTTAATGTACAAGGAGATCTACAAGGCGGTAGTGAAAAAAGGGTTCACACCCTTTCAACCTGTGGTAACAACACACTGTTCTAACATAAGACACACAGTCTACCTGTGTTACTGCTACCATGGCGAGAACAGTATAAAGCTCTTCCTTAGTAAGTTTGCCAGGTGTAGTCCGATTGGCTAAGGCCCATATCTGTCCGAGAGTTTCCCTGGGAAGTCCAGATGACATCAGAATGGGATAAAGTTTAGCAGTATCTATTCCAGTTGGAGTCATTGTAGTTTCTAAAATTTTCTTATAGGCATCTATTAAAAGAAAGACCAGATGACAAATGCAAACGCATTGCAGGTGATTGACTTTGTTGTTGCCATTGTTGGTATAAAAGAATAATCTAAAGTCAAATTGCTTTAATTTAGTTGGCATCTGACTCAGTGGGGAAAGGCACCTGATGACCTGAGTTCAATTCTTGGAACACACAAGGTGGAAGGAGAGGACCTATTCCCATAAGTTGTCCTCTGACTTCCACAGACTTGACTGGGAAAGGATGCACGCATGTGTATGGAAACTATCTGCAAACTATCAGAAAATGGACAGAACTAAAAAAAAATACACTAAGAGCTAGTTTCTGTAGGTTTGGGAGAATATCTAGTTTTTGATTTATGGTTGTATGATCACAATAAAAAGTAGATATTACCAGTTCCTTCCAGAAAGAAATTCTCCTGTAGAGATCTTGCATCAAGGTTGATTTACTCAAGTGGAGAATAACTTTGTACCACCCTTGAGCACTGATGAGCTAGCGGACATCACCTCCAGCTTGCAAGGCGCTGAGCAGCAAACCAAGCAGCTGTGACTTACTAACCACAGCATCTGCTGATGAGAGGACCGCTGTTTCTGTGTTTATTGATCATGGCTTAAACATACCACTGTCTGGTATCCACTAAGGACTACCACACAATTCATTTTAGCCATTTCTTCAGCTCAGCAATAAAACTACACATGAAAAAAACAAACAAACTCACTCTACTTTCCAATGTAGAAAACGATGCTACCCAATCTTTCATTTTATATAGTTTCATAAGACCATCAGAAAAAAATACACTTACAATCCATATAAATTGAGAAAGTCTTAAACATACTAGTGTGATTCTTTAAAAAAGATATTTTTAAAATTTGTATGTGTTTCGCCTGCATGTAAATCTGTGTACTACATGTGTGCTTGGTGCTTGCAGAAGCCAGAAGATGGTGTCTGGTGCCCTGGAACTGGAATGTGGTTGTGAGTCATTATGTGGGTTCTAGGACTTGAACCCAGGTCTTCTGGAAGAGCAGCCAAGTTCTTAACCACTGAGCCATCAAATCACTTCAGCCCCAATAGCGTGATTCTTGATAGGTTATTAATAGTCTTTGAAACAAGTATCTGATCATATAATCATTTAAGACACAATAACTCTAATTGCTTGGCCTTTGCCCCATTAGCCACCTTGCCACTCTCAATAAAGTAGTCTCTCTCTCTCTCTCCTGTTTTTTTTTTTTTTTTTGAGACAGGGTCTCACTGTGTAGTCCTGGCTGTCCTGGAACTCACAGAGAGCCACCTGCCCCTGCCTGCTAAGAGCTGAGAGTAAAGGCTTGCATAACCATGCCCAGCCCACATGAAGTTTATTTAGTTTTCTATACTCCACAGGAAAAAAAATATAAGTAACAATTCCTTCTGCATATTTTGTAACCATGACAGTAAATATTTAGAAATACTTCTATAATATTTAAAGTAACATATCTAAGAGGGGAATGCTGGGCAAAGCATCTTTACTTTACCTGGAACCAAACTCTCATTGTAAATCCAAGGAGGCATTCTGGGCTGAACAGGATCCTGAGAGGGAAACACGGCCACCCCTAGAAGGTAAGGATGGTTAATGATCTGGAGAAGAGAAAAGCCACTGTTTTTTACAAAGAGGAGCACTAGCTGCAGTCACTAGAAAAGTCACCAACATAATATAAGCACTTGGTTTCCAGCAACTCTTGTGCAGTCACTATGAATTAAAACATAAAGAGAGAGTATTAGGTACCAAATCAATAATCGGAGTCACCGGGGGCATGCACCATTTAATGTGTTTGACAAGTTATGGGGAAAACACAATAGACAGTGGCTTAAAATTACGTGTGTAAAATATCCCCCTTGGGTTTGTCTCCAGGGTTGCCCATATCCTGCTTCATCTCCAGTTAAAATATGGATTTAGCTTTTGTGTTTTGAGAACAGGACCTATGGCCATGTGGCTACTGAGTGTACAGTCCACTGCAGCTCAAAGACCTGCTTGACTTTCTCCAGTGCTGTGGGCCGAGTGTGTGAATCTGGATCTTTTAGGTCACAGCACAGACAATTTAGCTCAGACAGAAAGACTGCATTTTCATTGGTGACTTTTTCAGTTACAGATAAACTGTTTAACTTTTACCAAAAACCAGAGAGCATGAGATGAACCAGAAGGGAACTGTTGTCAAATGAGAGGAAATTTTAGATTAGGAGTGATTCCGATTAGGAAACAGGCTTATCAAAATCATTTGAAGAGGAGTAATACAGTTGTTCAAAGAATTCAGAGCAAAATCTTAGAGGTTAATTGGAGAAAAGACTGCATAAATGTTTTTAAGCAAAATCTGAATTAGCACAATCAAGCAGCATCCATTTTAAGATTAATGCTCAAGTGTTAGCGGCTGAGCGGCAGTTGGTTAAACAAAGTTTGTGCTGAATGTTGCAGGAGCTCACCACTCTCTCCATTCGGCAGGTTTTGGTCTGAAGTCTTTTCTGCCTCTGCAGTGGTGAGACCACTTACACATCCATCTACGGCACCCCCGTTACGGGCCATTAAACTGGGGCAGTTCTTACTGGAACCTGGGACTATGGCTTTTTGCCCAACTTCAGGAGTGTTTAATTTAATTTGTTCCTGCCCAGATGTACTTAAATCACAAGATACTAGGAGCTTCTCTTCCAAGGAAGGGCCTAAACAAACAGCATGAAGGATTACTTGTGTATGACTTACATATCCCAATCTTGTCACCATCCCTTCCCACCCTCATGTTCTCAGGGGAAAAACTCCCACAGAGCATGGAATTATATAGTAATTCAATTGTTACCATTGGTGTAGGATTTGAGAGACTTCAGAGGTTTGGGGGAACTCAACATAATTACCCTACTTGGTTCTCAGGGATTCCATGCCACAGGAGGTAGACCCATGCAGTGAGGGGGGGCATGCTGTGGGAATTCGGCAAGCTCCCAGACACAGACAGTGTCTAACTAGTGGGAGACCTGACTGGCCTGTTTTCCACATCTGTCAAATGACGAAGTCTTAAAGACTACAAACAGGTCTCCCAGGACACTTCCCAGCACACTCTGTCTTGAGATAGACTGTGCCTGCCCCATGATTTCACAAATGATTAAAATGGAAGTACAGAAATGTTTAAAGACTTGTCCAAGGATAAAACATGTCACTGCAGAAGGCTGGCCTCAAACCTGAGCAGGTCTGATACCTCTGTCTGCCTAGTACTGGAATTACAGACACGGTCACCACATCCTTCTTAGATGGAGTCCTTCTTTTCTTTTTCTTTCTCTTCCTTTCTTCCTTTCTTCTGCCCTTCCTCCCTTCCTTCCTTTTTTTTCCTTCCATTTTGAAACAGGGTCTTGTGTAGCCCAGGCTGCCTTGAACTATGTAGCTCGAACTCCTGATTTTTCTGCCTCCATGACTCAAGGAATGAATTACAGATGTGTATACCATAGCTGGCTAAGATATCACACTTTAAAAGGGTGTGATTTATTTCTCTTTGTGTGTGTATGTTGGTGCATATGTGAAAGTGAGAACTTATAGGAGTCACTTCTCCCCTTCCAGAGTGTGAGTTCTGGGGATAAACTCAGGTCATCAGGCTTGGTGGCAAGCACATTACCTTCTGAGCCATCTCATTGGCCCTGAAAGATTACTTTTTAATGGCGTTCTCTCTATAGCATTATTTTAACACTATATCAGTGATTCTTTTTTTCCCAAGCAAAAGCATAATCTTAAGAAGTCAGTTTGCTTTTAAAGTTTTCTGGTGGTTTCACCTGTTTCTAACACAACAGCAAAAGGTTTTAAATCACTTTCTAGCAAATGAAGATGCAAAAACTTCATCTAGCCTAGCATTGGTAGCTGTTGATGGTTCTCACAAATAACATACCACGTTTCTTTGCCAATAGCACTGTATAATTCTACATAAATAAGAGAAATAAATTATCCTACAATATCTTAACACTTCGATAATAACACTAGAGTTACCTGCTTTTTGCACACTGTGTGAAGCTGAAGCAGCAGAGAAACAAGGAATTTGCCCAGGGCCACCATGTAAGGCAAAAGACACTGGAACCTGACCTGGAGGGAGAGGCTGTGCTCCAGCCTTCTGTGTGTGCAACTGGCCGAGTGGGGTTGTGGGGAGGAAAGACTGAAAGGGACCGGCCGTGGAAGGGGGCCCACAAGTGGGAACCTCAACAGGTCCCTGCATAAAATCACTGAATTCGTCTTCGTCAAGAAAGGCAGGTGATGGGGAGACAGTTTTAGTAGAATGAGATGATGTGGGACAATCTGCAAAATGGAAAATGGCAATGAAACACACAGGAATGAAAACCGAAGAGAGAAAGAAATCCAGATGTAACACAACCCTCAGAACATACTGAAATATGAACAGTGGAGGTGAGTGAGAACAACAGTCAATGGAACCAGAGTGCTCCTGGAACACCTCGATGTCTGTTTTGTTCTAAAAATAAATTCTAGAGCTATTTTATATTTGGTTGAAGAACAGACAAAATTAACTTACATTTCCTTTTTTCATTTTATTAGGTAGTACTAAGTGTGTATCAAAGTGGTAATTATTTCTGAAATCCAAGTGGTCTGTCTGATAATATCTCTTTTATTTGTCTATATGTTTATTTTTTGAGACAGAGTCTGTCTACTATGGAACTTGCTCTGTAGACCAGGCTGGCCTCAAACTAACAGAGATTGACCTGCCTTGGCCTCCCAAGTGCTGGGATTAAAGGCGTGTGCCACTACATTTGGCCTAGACAATCTTACTAAACAAACAAACAAACAAACAAACAAACATATATGAACAGAGATCTGAACAACACAACACAGTTGATTACTTACTTGCTGCTGAATGCTGGCCACAGATCTGTGCTAACAACAGAACTCTATATGAACACAATGTGGGACCTAACAATGGCCACTGCTCTCTGCCTTTTCTATATTCGGTGCCAGGTCCAGTTTTTGCCCTAACTTTCAATGTTTGTATGCTGACAGGCTCAGCTATATATCTTGTGTTGACCTAGAACTTGCTATGTATGTACTCTAGGCTAGCCTCAAGCTCACAGCTCCTCTACCTTAGCCTCCTGGTGCTGAGTTTACAGGGCTATGTCACCACACTGCCTGAATCACTTCATCACTAGCTTGTATGGCTTATACATAATTTCAGTTCTAGATATACTTTTCCTTATCTCAAAACGATTGATAGTATCTATTCTCCTTCCAATTTTAGTGTATACTTTACTTTGGGCATGATTTTGGTAATAGGAATCAAGGTACATAATCTAATCAGTGAAATAAACAGGATCAAGAATTAATAACAGGCTGGAGAGATGGCTCAGTGGTTAAGAGCACTTAATGCTCTTCCAGAGGACCTGGAGTATGGTTCCTGGCACCCATATCAGTTTCACAACATCTTGTAACTCCAGGCAGGGTGCCCTTGGTGGATACAACACACAGACACACATAAATAAAAATAAATACTTAAAAAAAGGAATTGGCCAGGTGGTGGTGGCGCACACCTTAATTTTTTTTTCCTGATTCTAACTTATAAGAGATACTAAGGCACAAGGATTTAAGATAAAATTTGATGTATTTTCTAGCAGAATATAGTACTTTTTGATTTGATGAATGATTTATAAAAATGGTTTGTCCATTAATAGTATAATATTATTTAAATTAGCTGATAACAAAATGTGAAAATATTTAATTTCAAAGAGATGAGAAAACATTTTGCAAACAATTTCAATTACTAAGTATTTAAAATGACAACAAAACATAAAAAACCCACCCTCTTCTTTACCCTGCTTCTCTAAAAGGCAATTTTATTTGATTACCTCATGATTAAAAACTACAAAGAAATTTACTGAAGAAACTGAGCTTTCCTAAGCAGTATTATAGCCATGACTATTTAAAAATGGGACATTTTGGGAATTTCTAAATTTTGTCATATGAACAACGAAACCTGGCCTAGCTCATAAGAATACACATTCATAATAAAGAAGATAGACTAGTAAACTCACTACATTTCTTTGAGTCAACAGACTTCCTTTTTTCTTTTGTTAAGTCAGGGTCTCTCCTGGCAGACCAGACTGGCTTCAAACACAGAGAGCCTCCTACTTCGGCCTCAAGAATACTGGGATTAAAGGCGGGCGCCACCACCACTGTGCACAAGACTTTCCTAATATCAGTACACTCACTATACAAATTTTCTGGGGAGTTATTAAAGTGATGGTAAGTAGAGGACTAAGGACTTTAACCTCCAGCTTAGCTGTTAACTGGGTCAGATACCTTTCATTTTAAAATGTTCAAATCTGAATTAAGCTTGAAGGAAAAACTCAGCACTGACCTTCACATACAGAGACCAACTGAATATGGGGAGATGATCAACCAACTTCCAAGAAAAGACTTTTTTGTGTGTTTCTTAAAATGAAAACTACCTGGTTTCTTGGGGTGTGATGCTGGAGTAGGGTGCATCTTAGCATCTCTGGAAAATCCATCTAAGTTTCCTTTTATGGCTTCCAAAGCATCGTCTCTGTTCTTCTCTCCTGTCTGCAAGATAGAAACCTGTGTTTAGTTTTTCCCTTGTCTTCCACGCTCTTCCCTTCTCAAACTAACACACAGAGACCTATTTCTGATATCCTTTTCTCTTTGTTTTTTATTTTTGAGACAAGGTTTTAGAGTTTACTGTGTCCCAGACTGGCCTCAAACCCACAGCCATTCTCTTGCTTTTGACTCTCAAGTGCGAGAATACAGGAAAGGCTTTAGTACAATATTCTCACTATTACTTCTGACATTCTACAGAATATAATAACTTTAAAAGGTTCATTCTCAAATACTATAGGACAGGGCTATGAGAAGCTAAATGTTTTATGAGGAACCTGACAAATACACTTCCTACCATCCTATTATGACCAATGCTTCCCAAGAAAAAGATTACCAGCATGGTGGTTAAAAAAGAGAGTTGAGAAGACAATGGCTGATTCCTGTTTTCCCCAACAATATCACATCTATCTGTATAGACAAAGAAAAACCCTTCCCTTTAGGCCTGGGGTAAACCATGATGTAAAGAAATCCACTGCAGCCTCAGCTTGGGCTGGTGCCTGTGTGAGAGGAGGCATGTGCAGGGCACACATGCATGCTAGGTGGGCGTGCATACATCACCTTGGGTTTCACGCTACTCAAAAGTCTGAGCTTTTGTTTTTGCTCTTCAAACTGACGTCTTTTCCTTTCTTCCTCTAAGAGTTTTTGTTGCTGTTCAAATCGTTTTCTGAAGGGAAAACAATTATATCAACATTCAGCTTCAAGTAGTAATGGTTCCATTCAGACTTTTACTATCAGCTTCAGCAATACCCACTTGCAGTTCTAAAATGATAATCTTCATTCTTAATTATATGTAATTCTCTTACAACAATCTGTTTCTTCTGAATACTAGCTCTAAAATATTTTAAATGAATCTATAGAATGATTCACTTAATTTTACATGTATGTTTTTGTTTCTTACTGAACTTGCAAGACAAAGAAAGGTTTTGTTTGTTTGTCTGTTTTCTTGGTGGTGGTAGAGCTGAGTATGAAACCCGGGGCCAGACAGCATCCTAAAATTGAGATAGTTGCATGTGTAAAGAGGGAAATCCACCTCTAGGTGGAGACATGCCTTTGTCCCCTCCCTGAAAGGTTAACCCAATGGGGCAAGGCCAAGGATCTGGCTAGGGAACCACCCCAGGTAGGCAGGTTCACCTTAGGAAAGAACCCCTCAGTTGGTTATCTAACACCAAATGGTCAACCTTGAAATTATACACCTACAAGTAAAATAATATGGGCTAAGTAGGTTGTACTTAAGAGGCCATAGATTTGAGAGAGAGAGAGAACAAGGGGAGGGAATATATGGGAAGACTTCAAGGGAGGAAAGGAAGGGGTGGGTAGTGTAAATATATATATAGGATTTTTCAAGACAGGGTTTCTCTGTGTAGTTTTGTAGACCAGGCTGGCCTCGAATTCACAGAGATCCTCCTGCCTCTGCCTCCTGAATTCTGGGATTAAAGGTATGTGCCATCACTGCTCAGCTGTGTAATTATATTTAATTTTAAAATATTTTCTAATTATCAATTTAAAAAATGCCTTTCGTTCCCAGAATCCCTTCACCCTGGTACAGTCCCTATGTGGTAGCCACTTTGCTGGGACCTGACTCACAAAAGTGTAATTATTTCTTTTTCTTCTTTTCTGTTCCTTTTTTCTTTTCTTTCTTTTTTTTCCCTTCTGGATGCTGGCCAGAGCCTAAGTGTGCTCTTAAACTCCTAATGCTTGGGACTTCCTAACTCTGTTCTAAGGTTCCCTAGCTCTGCCATGTGGCTGACCTTCCTATCCTCCCCTTTTAGGCAGCTGTGAGAGTTACAGTTTTCCTGCCCTGGAGTTTTCCTTTTAAGCTAATAAACTGCCCATAAGCGTCTGTCTGAATCTGTTCTTTGTCCTCAAATTCCTTTTGTGTCCATTCTTAAATTGTATTATCAATGAGACTAAGAGACCCAAGAGGGGACCTGATCCCCAAGATACCATATGATGGCTCCTCTGGGACTCCATGAATCTCCAGTTTTATTTCTTTCCTGTTTTTAATTCTTTAATTGGCAGAGAACACGAACCCTACTCCACCCCTAGATTTCCAGCAGTAGAGGAAACAGTCTTGGTACGCTGAGCAGTCACGAATACCAGGGAGGCAGATGAACATAAAAAGCATGCTTTGTTCTGCATATAAGAAAGTAAAATGCAGGCTCTGTGGCACAGCACTTGCCTAGCAGCTAGTGCTGTACCATCAAACAGCAGCAGCAACAACAACCAATTTAGGAAGCTGGGTGTAGAAGCGAGAACCTATAATCCCAGCATTTGGGAGGCTTGGGCACAAAGACTGCAAATTCAAAGCCACCCTGGGCCTTTTTTGTTACTCTGACTCCAGAAATCAAAACAACAAAAAAGACAAAAAACCAACCAAATATACAGGGAATTCGTTTGGGAAGGAAGGCCAGTCTCCAGGAGCAAGAGCCATGCTCTGAGGAGCAGGGGGCCAGCCAGACAACTAAGTTTGTTGGTAACTTTGTAACCTGTGCTGACAAACCGCTTCATTTCAGGTTCCTCTTAGAACAGAAAGTATTTTATTCTGTATTTTTGTTTTGTTTTGTCTGAGACAGACTCTTGTTATATTGCCCCCCCTGGCTTTAAATTCACACTACTTCTATCTCAGCCTCCCAAGAGGTTGGGCTTATAAATTAAGTGCCAGGCTACTCAGTTAGCTCTAAACTTCTTACAAAAGTATTTAAAGGTCCCTGTCTCAAAATGAGCCAACAAACAAACCCGTTTTTAAAGTGTCCTAAAGACAATGTATCTTTTTCAGCTTCAAAGTGCAGAACATTTGATAATCTATAGAATAGCTGCAACTGTGCTATCCCTGGATCCTGGGCATCTCTTACTGTTGCTCTTCAGCAAACTGCTTCTGCATGTCTGGAGTGTATTGTGGGCCTGGAGGACGCATGCCCAGAAATGGTGGCTGCCCCAGGAAAGGCATGCCTGCTGCTGGCATTGGTCCCATTGGTATTCCTGCCTAGAAGAAACAACAGGCAACAGATTAAATAATATATGGGTTTTCTTTTTAATTATTAACAAACTTTGCAAAAGTTATTTCATAGCATTTTTACTAGTAAGATATATAATACATTCTTATTAAATTAAATACTAATTTAATTTAGTATTAAAGATTAAAGCAACATAGGCTGCATATTCCTGTTAGTGTCAGAGGACACCACTGGTGTAAACTCCCTCATGTTTCATGGAAACACAGGGTTACATGCCAGTGTGCTCAGAAGTACACATGCTTTGAGGAAAGGTGTCATAGCATATGTATGCATCTCTTTTCCCAGTATCAGTGAAGACCCTGGCATATGGTAGTCATTCCACTCGTAAGACTGAACTTGATCCTCAGATTTATAACATAATAAAAATCTGGAGGTGGAGAAATGAATCAGCAGTTAAGAGCACTTGCTGCTCTTACAGAGGACCAGGGTTTGATTCCCAGGAGCTACATAGTATCTTGAACTACCTGTAACTCTATGGGATTGGATAAACTCTTCTGACCTTGATTGGCTCCAGGCACACACATGGTCCAAAAATATAAAAGCAGGCAAAACATTCATACATATAAAATAAATAAAACCTAACAAAAGATAATATTTTAATATTCATATCAAGTCATAATAGCCTAAACTTTTACAAGCAACATAGATTTAATCAACAGTAAATTACTCTCAATACAATAATATACACTTAGCTGAAGCATCCAGAAATAAGAATCCCTCAGCACAATATCCACTCACAAGTTCTAACATTAAACTTAGAGTAACAATTACGGCAATTATTCCCTGAGTAGAAGTTTCTCCGGACAGCTTCCCTTCTGAACTGTGGCAGCTCCTGAAGCCTACTAGAGACCACTGTTTCTACTGTCTTGGAAGTGGGAACACTTGCTCCCGATAGCATCATCAACAACCCAGAAGATGTCTCAGCTATCACTTCGCATTTATTTTCATTTCCCTTTCTTTCTAGGATTCCAACAGTACACCTATTAGGTCTTCTCTCATATCATCGAACTCTCTTACACACTTCTTTTTCTGGTGTGTGTGTGTGTGTGTGTGCGCGCACATGCACACATGCGCTCATGTACCTGGGTGAGCATGCAGATGGAGGCCCAGGTTGATGCCTAGAACAATCCTCAATTACTTTTCCACCTATTTATTGAGGCATGGTCTCTCATTCAAACCCAGTGCTCACTGATACAGCTAGTTTTCCTAGCTGGCTTGTTCTGGGGATCCTCTGTCTCCACCATGTAGGCCTAGTTTTATATGCAGGGCACCATGCCTACTGGGCATATTTAAATGAGCTTCTGAGGTCCAAATATCACCCTCATTCTTGCCATCAAGCACTTTCGTTGCTAAGCCAGCTCCATAGCTCCTCTCACACATTCTCTTCTTATTTCGTCTTCAACTAAAACAGCTTCTTCTGACCTCTCAAACTCACTAATTCTTTCCTTAGCCATTTCTAACTCCAGTTAAACCACCCATACAAGTCTTCTGGTTAGTATATTTTTTTCAATTCTAAAATTGCTTAAATCTACTGTGTCACTTTTTATAATTTTGAGTTCCCTACCAAGGTTTTTCTACTTCAGCTTTTAATTCTTAGTTCATAAAAAATATAGTTCCAGAAAGAAATAAAGAACATATAGCTCCATTGTCTATTCTACTAATTCCAATAACTCACATTTATTTTGAACAGTTACTGTGGTGGTTTGAATAAGAATGGCCCCCATAGGCTCATATATTTGCATGCTTAGTCCCCAGTTGGTGGAACTATTTGGGAAGGATTAGGAGGTATGGCCTTGTTGGAAGAGGTGTGTCATAGGGATGGGCTTTGATTCTTCAAGACCCAGCACCATTCCCAGTTAGCTTTTTTTCTTTGCCTCTCATTTGTGGATAAGGATGTGACCTATCAGATACTGCTCCAGTGCCTCGCCTGCCTGCCTGCCTGCCTTCCTGCCTGCTGCCTGCTCCCCACCATGATCATCATGGACTCACCTTCTGAAGCTGTAAGCCCCTAATAAACTCTGTCTTTTATAAGTTGCCTTCGTCACAGTGTTTTATCACAGCAATAGAAAAGAAACTGAGACAGTCACTTGCTTGTGTGAGTCTTTGAGTTTGAACTGCACTGTAGCATACACCTATAATTCCACCTATTCCGAAGGCCAAAGCAAAGGAAAAAAAACCCAGATATAATAAAACTCCATAATTCTGGGCAGTGATGGTGTACAACTTTAATTCTAGCACCTGTGAGCACAGACAGGCAGATTTCTTGAGTTCGAGGCCAGCCTGGTCTACAGAGTGAGTTATAGGACAGGCAGAGCTACATAGAGACCCTGCCTTGAAAAGTAGATAGATGATAGATAGATAGATAAAACTTCATAAGATGCAAATTATTTCTAAACATAACACTGAGCTCTTAAAGCCACAGCTCTTGACATACAGATGCCTAACAGCAAACAAGAACTTTATAAACAATCAACTAAGAAGCAAGTACCTGCATTGCAATGGGTCCTTGGGACATTTGAGAGCTGTAATTCATTCCCATCATGCTTTGCATATTGGGCTGCATGACAGAGACCATAGGAAATCCTTGCTGCTGCATTGGCATGAGGCCTGCTGGAAAACACCAAGACTTTATTAAAATCAACATGTTCTAAGGTTTATTTCCTTGAAACCACAACACCCAGAGGACTTGCTAATTGAAAAGTTGCACAGTACAATGGAGAATGCATACAGTCCTGATGAGACAGGCTTGAATGAGAATTCCATCATCTATTTAGCTATGTGATCTTGGGCAAGCTATAGAATTCCATCTGTTAAGTCAGTGGTTCTCAACTTGTGGGTCCAGACCCCTTTGGGGGGATGGGAACTACCCTTTCACAGGGGTTAGCTAAAACCATCAGAAAACACAGATATTCACATTAGGATTCATAACAGTACCAAAATTACAGTTATGAAGCAGCAACAAAATTAATTTTAGGGTTGGGTCACCACAACACGAGGAATGGTATTATATGGTCTGTAGAAAGTGAAAGTAATAATACTGGCTCTGCAGGACTTGAAATGTGGATATGAAATTAATGACTTGGCCTAAATACAGTATTCAGTTTTCACTGTGGGCCCCAGCTGATTCCTGCCGCCTGGTATTCATAAACTTGTATCATTTCTTCCCATGTTAAACTCGTACAGCTAACAGGATACTGTGGTGATAACTCCCAGCCTAGTTCTTTTTGAGACAAGATCTGATATGACTGAAGGGCTAGCCTGATCTTCCTGCCTCCATCTCCCAAAGCTGTAATCACAGGTGCGTGCCACCACACCTTGGCTCCTAAGGCTAGTCATTAGCTTCCTTCCTGCTTTCTTAAACTATGTGTTCTAGGGGAAGCCACTGCTGCATCACAGGAAGCACATGTGGAGATCTGGGGCCTCCTCTAAACAGGCAGCATGAGTCTGCCACCTTGAATGAGCCATCTTGGAAGCAGATCTTTCCACTCCATAAAACCTTCAGATGACTGCAGTTCTGCCTGATGGATTTACTGCAACTCACAAGATGCTCTGAGCCAGAACCACCCAGCAAAGCTGCTCTCAGATTCCTGATTCATAGGCACACTGCAAAATAACAAAAAGCTTATTTTGTAAAGTTCTGGGGTCCTCTATTATATAACACTTAAAATTATGAACTCTGGAAGCCAAATGAATGCACTATGTACTACCCATGGTACCTTGAGTCTTTGCTCACTCTGCACGCTTGTATGTTTGTATGCTTTTATGTCTGTCTCTGGGACTCTCTCTCTAGAACTCACTGTATAGCCAGGCTGGCCTCTAACTTCTTGAGTGCTGGAGTTGCAGCACTCCTGGTTTTTCTTAACTTTGTTCTGCAACTTCACTTCTCATCTGCAAAGCCATTTAATGCTTTTTATGTCAAAGAAATGTTATTCTTCTTCCCCTCTCTCACATGAACATTTACACAGAACAGTCATTGCTGTGTGAAGCATACGTGACACAAGGACAGGAAAACCATGGGGAAAGTACCATGTACACTGGTATCTCTATAACTTCCCCAGAGAAATAGTCCCAAGAGCAGAGATGAACAAATGCATAGCCCTTTGGGGTTTAGAAACAGTAACTGTCTACCATATATAAGGAACAGTTCCATATGGCTTGTTCATAACAGTGAATAAAAATATAGCTTGAACACAAATTACACTCTAACTTTGCATTTAACCACACCCTGCAATCTCATTGCTTCCAGCAGGCATGTCCAACCTGTGGGCTGCATGCAGCTGATATGAGGACAGTCATAAATGCAGCCCAATACAAAATCAATAGCTTACCTAACACCACAGGAACAATTTTTTTAATCACTAAAAGCAACAAAACACCCCTCCAAAACAATTCAAAATTTCAGGGACTGGAGAGGATGGCTCATCAGTTAAGAGCACGTGCTGCTCTTGACAGAGGACCTGGGTTCAATTCCCAGCACCCACATGGTGGCTCACAACCACCTGTAACTCCAGTTCCAGGGAAAATGACAATTCTTTTGACCTTCATGGGCTCCAACACATATGTGGTACACAAGTATACATTCACATGCATTTGCGTGCACATACATACACACAATGTTTGAAAAAAATCCTGATTCTAGAATTAAAAATTATCAGGCCATCCTTGAGATCTTTTTCTGGTTCACTTTCTTTGTTCCGTATGTGGATTTTTACCTCAAAAAGTAAAAAGATGCCAAGCAACGAACCATACATGACAGTAAACACAACTCTGTGGACACAGTACCTTAGACCATTTGATGTAAATCTAGGACACCTGAGCAAAGCTAGCTTAGGAAACATATACACAGGCACACAATGAAAAGAATACAACTGACCCTTGGAAAATTGGCCTGAACTCAACCTCTCCCACTGATAGGAGAAAAAGTCAGAGTGAGCTAATTCCCACCTGCTCTAAGCGCCCTTTATCTTTCCTCTCTCCTGGTGACCTAGGAGTTTCTGTTTCCCCAGTGAGTCCACCATAGCCAACCAGCACTGGCTTTGTGAGAAGGGACACTTTTCAATAGCAGATGGAGGCTGAGGGGAATAGAGGGGGAGCTGATGAAACGGCAGAAGGGAGCAGAAAGAAGCAAGACAAGTATAGGTAAATTCTTCCCTCGATTCTTGTCTATAGCAGAATGGGTCAAAATTTTATCTCCCAACTCCGGGTGCCTTCAAGGTATGGCTAGAATTGATACTGGTGGGCTCCAGTTCTACAGACAAGAACTGTCTACTGAATAGAGACATTTCCAGGGATAAAACTGAGACTCAAATCCTTTTATTTTTATTTTTTTATTGAGATAGGGTCTTGCTATATATATAGTCCAGACTGGTTCAAATTCACAACCCAGCCTCAGTCTCTCAATTGCTAGAATTATAGGCATATGCTCCCATAGCTGGCTGAGACAAACTTTCCTTCCTTCTTCCTTCCTTCCTTCTTTTCTTCTCCCCCCTTTCTCTATCTCTCAGTCTCTCTGTCTCTGTCTCTGTTTCTCTCTCCCTCCCCGAGCCCCTCCAAGGCCTCACTATGTACCCTGGCTGGCCTCAAATTTAAGAGACTGGCTTACCTCCACTTCCCAAGTCCTGGGATTAAAGATGTTCCTTAGCACTAGCTTGAGACTTGAAGACTTTTAAATCAGGATATCAGATCTCTTTTATGTGCATCATTATAGTAAGACCATGACACACAGGAAAAGCACATACAAGATACTAAAGAGGTTTGTTTATTCACTCAACAAATATCACATGGAATCTACCACACAAGTAGGCAGGGTGCTGGAGACACTGGGAAGCACAAGGTAACAGCTCCTGCCCTCTGACACAAAGAAGGCGGAAGAAGACCAAATAGGAAGACATGGGAATTAAAGCTTGTTTCAGTGTCATCACTTGTCCTTAATATTCGTGCCCTGAAAAGTTTTCCTTTATCTCTGAGGTTAAATAATAACCTACTGATATAATGGACAAGTAAGTTTGGGAAACATGAGGAGTGATCCTTTCACTCCCCAAATCAAGCATTTTTAAAAGAAATTTTGGGAGAAGGTGTCATACAGAGTTAAGACTATAGGATAAATTTACTTCATTGGACAGCAATATAATTTATCTTTTACTTATCCATTTAATTCAGAAACAGGGGGTGACAACTTCAGTGTGGGACTGAGGATGTGGGTTAGGGGCAGAGTGCTACCCAGAGTGTGTGAGACCCTGGGTTCCATTCCAGTACTGACAGAGAAATGTAAGCTTTTACGTACCTTGAGGGGGTCTCATCCCACCTGCAACAGGAAACATGAAGCTGAAACAGGAATACAAATACATTAGTATATAAGATTTCAGACATGAATGAAAGAACCAGATAGAGCCCGCTATCAGGTCAGCAGTACAATGCTGATTTCTTAGTATATTTAAAAATTTTTATGTGCGTTCTTTGCCTGCATGCTTGCCTTTTCATTGCACAAGTGCAATACACATAGACCCAGAAGAGGGTATTGGATCCCCTAGAACTGGAGTTTAGTTGTGAGTTGCCACGTGCATGCTGGGAACTAAATCCGGGTTCTTTGCAAGAGCAGCAAATGTTCTTAACTGCTGAGTCATTTTTCTAGCCCCCGGAATTATTAATATTAATAAATACAAAATTTCAGTCAGGTGGTGGTGGCGCATGCCTTTAATCCCAGCACTCGGGAGGCAGAAGCAGGTGGATCTCTGTGAGTTTGAGGCTGGCCTGGTCTACAGAGCAAGTGCCAGGACAGCCAGAGCTACAAAGAGAAACCCTGTCTCAAAAAGCCAAAAGATAAAATAAAATAAAATAAAAATAAAGACTACATTTCCTATGATATGAAGTTTCAGCTTGCTAATGTGGAGGGAACTTTTTTTGGAGGGGTAAAATAGAAAACAGAAGGCCATGACACTATTCCTGGCTCTGTCACCTTGTGACCTCCCTGGATTCAAAATTCTCCATCCATGAAATGAGAGGGCTGGATTCATGTCCATTCAGGGAACATTTAATGAGCATCTACTATATGGAAGGACTGAAACAGCTTGCAATCTTGAATGCACAGGTGCAGGCAAATAATTACACAGCAGGGGAAGTGTACTATTTTAAGCAAGATAACAAATACTAAGAGCTCAGAAGTGCAAGGTTAATTTTTAGGCTATACCTTGGGAGGATCTGCAGAATTGGCTTTAAGCTTGCCAATTCTGGGAAGGGAAGAAGAGTTGTACAATATACACTTTTGGCAAAAGTTCTGAGGTTGGAGATGCAGGACATCAATCAAGATGATCTGTGGGGACTGAAGAGATGGCTCCGCGGTTAGGAGCACTGACTGCTCTTTCAGAGGACCAGGATTCAATTTCCAGCACCCACATGGTGGCTAAAAACTGTAACTCCAAGATCTGACACCCTCACACAGATAAACATGCAGGCAAACACCAATGTATATAAAATAAGAAAAAATAAATCATTAAAAAAGATGATCTGTGGCTAAATATATGGTTTAAAACAACAAGATTGCCAGAGTGCAACTCAGGGGTAGGACACTAGCATAGCCTATGCAAGGCCTTGGGCTCAGTCCCCAACGGAGGAAGTAAGTAAGTAAGGATGGATGGATGGATCTTAAGTCTTGTGATGCATACCTTTTCTCCCAGCAGTTGAGAGGTGGAGAGTTCAAGGCAAGCCAAGGCTACACAGTGAGATATCTCAAAAAAAAGGAAGAAATATATATATTTCTTTTTATTCTTTAAATAGGGTAGGGTCTCACAGGTCTCATGTTATAGCCTAGGTTAGCCTAGAACTATGTAGTCCAGGTTGGCCTTGAACTCACAACAATCCTCCTGCCTCCATCTCCTCAGTGTTAGAACTACAAGCATGAGCCACTATGCCCAGCTATAGGTCTTTTTTTTTTTAAAGATTTTATTTATTTATTATGTATACAACATCCTGCTTCTGTGTATATCTGCACACCAGCAGAGGGCACCAGATCTCATAGCAGATGGTTGTGAGCCACCATGTGGCTGCTGGGAATTGAACTCAGGACCTCTGGAAGAGCAGTTGGCGCTCTTAACCTCTGAGCCATCTCTCCAGCCCCACAGCTGGTCTTTAAAATGTTTATTTTTTATTTTGAAAATTCTGTCAGAAGCTGGTATGTATATATAATATATATGCACAATATATGTAATATATATTATGCATATATTATATGTGTATGTATATATGTATTGCAAAATGTTACCATTTGAATAATTTCAAGTATACAATTCAGTGATAATGAGGACATCACAATGTTTAAACCATTACTACCACTGTCCATGTCCTGAATTTTTCCTTCAGCACAAACAGAAACTCTGGTGCCATTAACGATAAACCACCACACCCCAGCCCCACTATTCTACTTTTTATCACTTGTAAATTTATCTATTCCAAGTCTAAGTATTAACTAGAACCAGGAATATCTGGATTATTTCACTTAGGTAAACTTGCTCCAGGTTCATCCACACTATAGCATGCATTAACTTCTCAGTCCCTCCCACAACTTTGATCCAACTCAATGTGCACAGCATACTGTTTATCTTCCCATCTCTACATGGATGCTTGGGTTCCTTCTACCTTTTGGCTGATGTGAACAATACTGCTATAAACACTGCTGTGTGAGTGAGTGTCTGAGTCATCCTTCCTTTCTTTTTTATATGTACCCATCAGTGAAACTGCTAGGTCATATAATTCTGTTTCCCATGGTGACTGTACCAGTTCACATTCCTAGCAGCAATGCACAGGACTCTGTTTTCACATCCCACACAACACCTGTGTGTGTGTGTGTGTGTGTGTGTGTGTGTGTGTGTGTGTGTGTGTAGTATACAGGTCTCTTGCCTGCATGTATGTCTAGGCACTACATGCACACCTGGTGCCTGCAAAGACAAGAGGAGGGAGTTTGATTCTCTGGAAAGCTAGAGTCACAGATGATTGTGAACCATCATGTGAGTCCTGGGAATCAAACATCATACCTTTGGAAATGCTGCCAGTACTCTTTACCACAGACCCATCTGTCTGTCCCATATATACATTATATAAACACAGTTACCCAAAAGGACATGAAGTGGTATGTCACTGTGGTTTGGATATGGCCTTTCTGCCATCAGACATTTTGAGAGGCAGAACAACATGTCACAAAGTGTACTTTTGGGAGGTTACTTTAATGACAGCATATGGAAAGACTTGAAGTAAAAAGAACTGGCCAAGAAACTACCACAATGTTCCTAATGAGTGATTTAAAAAGAGTGATAAATAAGGTAGGAGGGATGGAAAGGAAGTAGACAAAAGACATTAAGGAAGACTCAAGAGAACTTGGTAGCTGCCAGGGTGTGGGACAGCAGTGGGAAGGTAGAGAACGCTGAAGGGGATGCTGAGCTGGGACCACTGCAAGGACATGGGAGCCCGGTGTATAGGCCTGGGGGGAAAGGTGCTGGGGAAGAGACCTCGAGGAGCAACCCACTAGGCAGTTAGAAACTCCAGCTGTGGGAGGGGCGCACACCTTTAATCCCAGTACTCAAGAGGCAGAGGCAGGCGGATCTCTCTGAGATCTGAGAACTCTGTGAGTTCTTGAGGACAGCCTGGTCGACAGAGCAAAGTTCCAGTACAGCCAGAGCGACAAGAGAAACCCTGTCTTGGAGAAAGAGCTAGAAAAATCCAGCGATCCAGATAATCCTTTAAATAAAGATTTTTTTTTTAAAAAAAAAGCACAAAATGCATAACATAAGCAAGGAAGTAGGCACAAGTATCAAGGTGACACCACGGGCAACCTTGGAGTCTTACACAGGAAACTGAGGAGAGTGGACACTGAGAGGCAAGGGAGCAGCTCAGAACTAAGGACAGAGTTCAAGAAAGTAGCTGCCAGCTGTCTACTGCTGCAGCAAAGCCTGTACAGATGAAGATTAAGAAAAAAGCCGGTGCCTTGGGATTGATGGTCTTGCGGTGAAAAGAAGCATCGGCAGGGAGAAAGGTCTGGGAGGATGGACACAAGATCCTTACCGCCTGGAAAACAAGGTTCTTGAAGGAATGGGACCAAGGATCATGTGGGATCTGCTTTGAGGAACTACTAGTCCATTTGCTGAGGCTGGAAAGAGGACAAAATCAAGACTTTTTTTTAATTAAAATAAATCACTTTATGTGTAGGGGTGTTTTGGGCTGCATGTATGTCTACACAATACAAGCAAGCAGTGCCCACAAAGGCCAGAAGAGGGTGTCAAATCCTGTACACTGGCCTTACAACTGTTTACAAGCCAACATGCGGGTGCCAGGAATCAAACCTGAGTCTTCTGCAAGAGCAGCTAGTGCTGATAACTACTGCACCAACTCTCCAGACCAAGAAAGGAAAACTCTTGACTGGGAAAGTCTCTCAATTTCAGAATCAAAGACTTGAGAGTTTCTGTATAACTTAGGGAGCACCCGGGAACTCTATGTCAAATTCAGGAGCCTTTGCATTTTTGTTTTGTTTTACTACACTGGTCCTCCCACTTCCAGGAAGAAGTCTGAAAATCAACTTTAGAGTTCATGGTTCTAAAGCAGTTTAGTGTTTTATTTTGTTTTGTTTCCTTTTAACTGAAAGGTGGTTTATCATTCTAAACGTCCTTGGACATCCATCTGGCTTTATGTTACTTACGGCTTCTGTAGAGGGGCTGGGTTACTGAGTGACTCTTGCTGCTAACCAGCAGGCCTCAAGAGTGAGCACTCTTTCTTAATGGTATATAAGAGGCAATAATAGCTGAGCTGTGTGTTAACTGGTTTGCATCTGTCTGTTAAGATGGAACTTCTAGGCACTAGGGATCCTTCTGTCTCATCTCCTGAGTAACTAGGACTATAGATGTTTGCCGCCATGCTAGGCTCTTGCACTAGATGAGATGTTTGTGTTAAAGGAATGCTCTGGTCATCATGTCTGGTCTTCACTCACACACCAAGATGGGTAAACTTAGTAGAAAGGATGCAGATAAGTAGTCAACCCATCAAGACCTTGCAAACCTGCCATAAAAATTCGAATCACCAGTATGGCAGAGCAGCTCAGTAAAAACTTTGAGTAAATTGTATTCTCTTTTATCCAGTTTCAGTCCTCCTATTACCCTACCTGTCTACTTTCCCCTCTGTCAAGTGAGGACAGAGGACCCAACGTTTGTCAATGTCCCCACTAAGGTGACCACAGAGACAAGATAGAGGATGTATCACAGGGTGGGAGAGACGGTTAGTAAGCTGCTCTTGTGGAAGACCTTGGGCTCATTTCCCAGGACCCACATGGTGGCTCACAGTCACCT